TTTTTACGAAAAACTGAATTTATAACAAGGATGAACTTTTCCTAATAGAATATCGATTTCGTTGAAGTTCAGTGAAAATTTCCAATTAAATTGGATTTTTAATTGTATTATAGATTCATGACGGTAAACCACCTGGGTCTTTTCGTCTAACAAAAGAATCGAAGGTTATAGGCATTGTGACAAAGTGAATCTCTTGAAACAATAATTTTTTGTAGTCGCTTTAGTCGTCATTTTTCATAATCAAAAAAATACTTGTTTTCTGAGTACTAATTAGGCACTTTTTGTGTGACTTTTTGCGAATAAAATACTTTAAACTCTTTACTAAACTTATTATAAAAAATTAAGACGCATTTGTTATCACCAATTTACTGTTGGCAAATTAGACTATCTGCCGGTCAGTTTATTTGCTTCAATTACATAAAATTAAGTTTTTTTTATAATTATTGCCTTAATATTTGTAGTTTTTGTGCTGACAGAGTAAACTGAGACTGTTATTTATCTGATGTTTGCTTTTTCAATTACAGTGCTGTCAAGATAAAAAGACAATCTTTTTATGATTTTTAATTTTTTTTTTGATTGAAGTTAGTACCTTCAAACCTCTTTACTTTTCTGCTCAGTAAAAGAGGTATGGTCAAATGTGCTTTCTGCTGATTTTTGAAAATAATCCAGAAAATCTTTCCAACCAAACGATACAAACAGTTAGTTACTGTTCTTATTACATTTAGATGCTGGGAGTTAGACAACAGCAAACGTCCAGTCGTTGATGAGATGAAACGAGTGTTAGCTGTGTTGGCTTCGGTCAGTTATGCAAAAATTTCCTCTTTAGTAAATCCAAAAATTCTGCAAAATGTACATAGACCAATTTTCAAACAGACAGCTTTTGAGCTTGTTTTTCTGCTCATATATCATTACAGACTGGTAATTTGAGACGACAAAACACTTGTAGGGACAAAAATTTTCTTATATGTCAAAAAAATTTTAAGCCACTTTAATTTATGTTAACTTTTATTGTTGTAGTGTTAAAAATGAATGCAATTTGTTTTCAGAAATATAACAAATGTAAAGAAGGACTTATATTTATTAAGAAGGTAATAATTAATAGTCTTCAAAAAATTTAATTAACTTTGTTGGTTCCGAAAATGTTATTTAGTTGTTGCTCAAAATGATATTTTTTAATTGACAACAGATGTATAGCAAGCAGTAATTGGTTTTCAGACCCCCAAACCCCAAGTAGAAGTTACTGAAGCTGATCTTTCAGAAGCATTGGGCTTAAAGTTAGTTTTGAGACTTAATTTATTTGAAGACAATACAAAAACTACACTAAAACTTTTTTTCGGCTTACTTTCAGTAGGAATGTTTGAAAAATGCTCAATTTCAAACCTTGGTATTTCCTTTGTCTTACCATACACTGTTTGAAATCTTGGTAGATCTTTACCTAAAACTATTTTTTCTTTTTTACTGATCGTATTCTGCGAAATGCTCTTGATAAAAGGTATGATTTTTACAGGCATAAACTAATTGAGGAGCTGAAAAACGTGTACGAAATTGATCAACTACAAAAAAAAAAGGTCTCTCTTTGAGTTGCGCAAAAACTAAAAATCTAAAGACCAAAAAAGACAACGACAGAATGTTTCTTAATTTTAAAAACTTCATCTGCTATCGTTGAGACTTTCAAATCTGTCGAGTCTGTCTTATTACAAAGTGTCTGAGTAAATGTTTTCTTCTAGTTCTAGTCGTCAGCTGCTGACAAAAATTTTCATAAATTTCAGACATGTCTAGAGATACTTATTAATGAAACGTTAGAGACGTTGAAAAACCGTAGATCTGGTATTGCTTCAGCGAATAATAGTCAACAAACGGGACGGCGTTCATGACTTTTGTAATGGCTGCTTACTTTTCTAATGGCCTGAAAGTTTTAAAAAAACATATTGCTACATCTTTTACAAACACCAGCATTATACACGTAACTTCTTTTATTTATTAAAGTAACATTTGCAGTCCAATGCAGTCTGATCGTCCTGTATCAACCAGTCGGTATAAATAGTGTACTTAAGCTAATTTTTCCAACCATAGAATTTTTTCCCCTATCGACCCTTGCGACTTCCTTCGATAAGCAGGTGAAATATAAGACCGACAACCGTTTTTGGATTATGTGTCTTCAGACTACGATAAGTTCGAAGACT